CTGGCTTGTCGCCACAACTTGTCGACCAGCTTCGCTCGTCTCTTCTGACGATCCTTGGTTTCAGCAATTGTCGATGGTTCTGCAACTTGTCAAGAACGGATCGACAACAGACAACACGGCACAAGCAAGCGCCCTCGGTCACCCGACAGAACACCAGACAAAGTATAGTACAACATATACCTAGGTACCTGTCTATATCAGAATTTCGTTCCCTCTACATCAAGAGGCACACGTGGGACACAAGACTCCTAAATGAGAACTCAATTTTTTTCCCACGTACAACGTAACGAATTAGAATACCACATAAAGTTGGCACCTTGAGCTCATTCTGGACGAGAGCGCTCAGCCCGGGTCGTGATGAGGTCAAAATTTTGCCCCGAATTGCCAGCGAGAAACCGAAAGGTTGAGAAGGTACTAGCTAGAACGCACTGCTCAGTGCCCCTGCATTAGCGTATAGCTTTCCTTTATTTTTTGTAGCGAACGTCAAAGTTGAGCTGTTGGAGCATCATGCTCCATCTCAGAAACCGGCCACATTTAGGCGACGATACCTATGCGGTACAAACAGCTTCTCATACTTGCGACGTTCCACAGGGGAACAACGATACGGCTTGCTAGGGATTGGCTCTTCACAAGTTAGCTGAGTATCGTGTTCGATCACTGTCGTGTTTTCGTGACAGTCCGAAAACACGTCTTCAAACAAGAAAACAATCCTTTTCAGGTCCCCCTTCTGGACTTCACTTAACCTAGGCTCTAGGTTCAACTCCTCCAAGGCTACCTCCGATCCCCTTTCGGTTACATCACTGGAACTCAAAATTTCTGCTCCCTCTTCCTCTGAAGCATTCAACAGCTGATTTACGACCGCTTGACGTTGAACGTATGGTTTCATCAAGTTGTAAATTTTGTTCGGCCGCCTTCCTAATTTCACTTCATAATTGGTGTCGGAAAGCTTCTATGATACTTTGGCGGGCCCTTCCCAATTAATCTCAAGCTTATTCCTTTTCAACGGCCGCAGCAGCACTACCTGATTTCCTACTTCAAAAGCGCGCTTCTTCGCCGATTTGTCATACTACTCCTTCGACAACATTTGTGAAGCTTTGGTGTGGCTTTCCACTAGCGCATTAATTGAGAGGTCCTCACGCTGCTCTCGAATGAGCGTTTCTCGATCAACCCTCGACAGCTCACTCCAACGTTCCTCTACAGGCGAGAGCGTTGCATCCCTCTCACTCCGACTAAATAGCGCCATGTCGTCTCCCCTTGCTACGGCAACCGCGCCGGTCGCTTCGGCGACGGGCCGCTCGCGTGACTGCTCACATGACTCACGCAGAAAATTTCCTTTCTGAGGTTCCGTCGACCCGCCGACAAGGTCACTTGAGAGTTCACCGCATTAAACAAGATCAAGCTCCTGCGAAAGCTTCCGCGCTTGCGATCGCATGAGGGCCATGTTCGCTAAGTTGGGGAAGAACGATTTACCCTGCTCTTTGAGAAGCCGCTCTGAGTTGTTAGAGAAAAGTTAAGGAAAACTATCGGGAAGCGCGGCAGACACAGCCGCTTCGGTGCGAAGCTTACCAAACAGGCCTTCAATGACAACCGTGGCGATTGGTAAGCAAGCACTCTGCTCCTCGGCGACTTGCCTGATCCACGCGCAATCTCCTGTAAAGTCATCCGGAGACACCAATGAAGGATGGACAACATCCATGGTTGCCGCTGAGTCACCAAGTGCTCGACACGTTTGCCCATTCACACTAATTTCTTGGATATACGGCTCCAACAACCGCATGTTCTTTTCCGATTCTCGGATTGTTGCAAAAGCAAACTTTTGCTTACAGTTTATCGCGATGTGCCCTTCCTTTTTGCAGTTGTAGCAGATTAGCGGCTTCGGTTATTCAAACGCCCGTGTGGTATCAGTGCGTTGTTTAGGAACCTCACTCGATTTGTCCGCTTCCGTTTGCCCTTCCCCTACACTGTCCTTCATAAGAGACGGTTCCTTCTTGAAATTACGGTGTGGAGCGGGTTTCCGTTGATCAGGTTTTTTTGAAAAGCCCTCTTTCCTTTCATGCTTTTCAACGCGCACTGCCCTACTATGCAACTTTTGGCGAGTATAATACTCTTCGGCTAACTCTGCTGCCTTGTTTAGCTGTACTTCACCAAGTTTGTCCTGCAGCCAAAGTTTGACATCCTCCTCCATGCAGCGGTAGAATTCTCCAACGCAACGCATTCCACCACTTTATCGCGGTCGTCATAAACACCTTCGCCCTTCTGCCATTCAATTAAATCGGCTTTAAGACGAAACGCGAAGTCAACGTGTGACTCATTCCCCTTTTTAGCATACCAGAACCTTTGCCTGAAAGCCTCAGGTGACAACTTATAACGTCTCAAGAGCAGTTCCTTAACCTCGTCATAGCTCTCAAACGCTTCCCTCGACAAGCAAGTTATGGCGTCGGGCACTTCGCCGGGAAGAAGAGCTAACAGGTTCTGCGCCCTAAGAGACCGCTCCAAAGCGTTTCGCTCACAGACGTGTTCAAACTTGACGAGATACTTCGCCATGTCCTCGGATACTACGAACGGTGGCAGTTGGCCCCGAATTCTATAACCACTGACCTGAACTGTTGGAGAAGTTACGCTAGGCGCCTGCGAACACTGTAGTATTGCCAATTCTATTCGTTTCAACTCGAGGTGCTCCTGTCTTTCGGCTTCCTCGCGGCGTTCTCGCCTTTCAGCTTCTTCACGTTCGCGAGCTTCTCGCCTTTCAGCTTCTTCACGTTCGCGAGCTTCTCGCCTTTCAGCCTCCTCGCGGCGTGCTTTGATATCCACCCTGGCCTCATCTACTTCCCCCGCCGACACTCCCTGATCCTTCATGATCTCAAGGATCGCTTGCTTTCGTTTCGCACGGCCCAAAGTACTGTCGAGTTCCTCACAAATTTCGATGAGTTCCTTCACTTGAAGGTTCTCCATCGTTCACACTAGCCTCTTGCTGTTTGCCCCTGTTAAGAATCTACTTGCCGTACCCACTATAAGCTTACTAGCAAGACGCGCAAGCAATTTTAAACACTCCCGTGTTTACACCCTCCGCATTAACTTTGGTTTCAAAGCGCTTCGACTTGGCTTGAAACGATCAAAGCTCACTCTAATGCTTCACACAGCCCTTCTCTAAACTACTATAACCTGAGCTAGAGTAGTCTGGTGAACTGAGGGGAAAACATCAGGCACTCACCGCATCGATGTCGCTGACGCCAGCCGATCCCACAGCTGCCAACCACTGTTACGAAGCGCACCTCCGACGACGTTACGAAGGGCGCTACGAATCTCACCGCTGCAACAACTGTTTCCGAAGGACGGCGACGCCAACATGGTCCCGAAGGCGCCAGTGCTTCGAATTCCACCGGGAAGGTCACCAGCCGTTTGGTAGCGTAGGTTTCTCAGCTCGCGACTGCTTCTGCGCAGAGCTGATAGACGAGCGGACGAGACGACGGTGAGTCAAACAAGGTTTATGTACAGCATATATACAGAGGCGTTAGAAATTCGGCACTGGGGCCGACAGAGACTCGAAGAGCCGAGCTCTCCTCTCTAACACATAGGTCTGCTTTCAAATGGGTCCGCTGTCAAAGGGGTCTGCTCTCGACGCACCGCAGGGCTTTTTTTATATGCACCGGGTCCAACCCAAATGTCCAACCAGAAGCACCGCTGGTCGTGAGGTTAGAATCCTCCATTGGGGTCGCCGCTGGGCCGCGTCATACTTTCTCATCAAATCTGGAGAGGCTGCGCTGCAGGTGGCTGCACCCATGGACGAGTGACGTCACCAGGCATTGCGTCACCCCCCCCCCAGACAGGAAGACGCCGGTTGTTTCCTCGACGGCTCGCTTGCTGAGGTGACTCACTGCACATGGGCGACAGAAAGGCGCCGTCGCGTGTTGACGCCGTTGAGCTGTTCATCGCGTCAGGTGAGATCGCGTGCTGGCCTTGACACAGATTTCTTTTTTTTCCGAGGCTGGACGTTTGCTGCGGACTCGCAGGCATAACAGGGCGTTCTTCGGGAGCCTGAAACCACCATAAGTTGAGTCTGTACAACAGGTACTAGTTTATGTTTAGTGCTTGCAAGTATTCAGTAGGCACCATGACGAGAAGATCTACAGTGAAAAATGATACACCTGAAATCCTGTGTCCACTAGTGCCGAACGCAACAGTGTAGTTTAGGCTCACGTGTGCTTTTTTGCCCGTTTTCTTTTTTCTTTATCCCTAACTTTCAATCCCTTAGTCTATTTGCCCTAGCGTAGCATAGCATATCGGACGCACGTATGGTTCACCTTTTTACACCTTCTTCTTCTTCTATCTTCTCCCCCTGCTCCTCCCTCCCCCCCGCTGCCCCTTTCACATGTTCTGATGCCAGGCTCACTTCTACACTTCTGCCAGAGAATATATATTACATTACATTTGTATAGAGTTTTTAAACAGTTAAAAAAATAGCGTTGCTTTGTGGCAGGGCACCTTCTTGACACGGAGGCGGGCAGATTTCAATCGTCACTAGAACCGAAGTTTTTCGTTATTCTTATTTACACCTTTCTTGAATTTTCGTTCACGGACAAGAAGGCTTATTGCTGATAATAAAACGTCGGCGACGCTTACGCGGGCATCCGTATTTCTGGGAAACAAGCTCTAACACTTTCGCGTCAATGATGGCACTTGGTGCTGTGCAAACAAAACGGTCCTTCATAAAGGCAGAAGTGCAATGTGGAAGAGTGTGTTCTATTGCCATTTACATACCACACATTTGCCCAATGATGAAGGTAAGAAGTGTAATTTCAAGGGCTTCCTTTCTTTGATAGACACACTATAATGAGAACTACCAGCCAATGAAATTAACATTGACAATTGCCCATTGTACTCCAGAAACCACGAAGGACCGTTTTCTTCGCAGAGGAGCGAGTGACAATACATCATAACATTGTGCAAAAATGTATATGTATAGATCTCAAAATACAGACCTTATAGGCCCCGCAGAGAACAGCTGGTACATTTAGTACGAGAACAAACGGTGAAGATGAAGGCTGTGATTTTGTCTCTCGTTTTATTGGCAGCGCTCACCACCATGACACTGTAAGTAAGGTTCTTAGAAAAACCATGGTAAATTTTTAAGTATGAACATGCTTAAGAGGAAGTTCAAGGAAAAAATATGACTGTGACTTACTGAAGGTTCAGTCTACCACCTTATCGTAGGCAAAGTGGATAACTGCAAATGTTTGCTACTTTTGAATACAGTGCGTGGCAGAAAACATGTTGCAAAAAAATAAACTATATTCTTCTTCTTCTCCTTAATATTAGTTCATTCATAGAACAATTAGCGATACTGTCTAGAGTCCCATTTGACCGTGGTTGTAAGTGGCTCGCTTACTTGCAATATGTGGTGCGTCAACTTGATCGTGCGACGTCACGTTGACTTTGGTATGTGGGGCTGAGATAATGAAACTAGTGCGTGGGGCTGTAAACATGAGGGTGGTCAGCGTGGAGGGGTGGGGGTGAGTGAAATGGGAGGTTCTAACGTCTCTGAAGTGAAAGTTCCACATATGTGAACATACGCAAGCACGACAAACTCAACTAAAGAGATTGGCCCCGTAGCTACATGTTACACTGCAAATGTGGTCGAAAGACGATAGTCTTGCGTCTGTAGAGAGTGAACAAAGCATTTATCTGGTGTGCTGCGCAAGAAAATCGCTGAATGGTATTCTGGAGGCGCTGCGTTAGAGTGCTTTGAGTCTGCAGCGGAGGCGAACGAGCGCATCAAGTCACGTCACGCGAGAAACATGAGCGCTATTTGGCAGTTATCTTGAAAAACGAAGCGCGCGTGCCCGGTGCGCCCGTATCGGAGGTGATAAGACGTAGAACGCAAGTTGACGGGTACGTGCTACCGCCGTGTCGTCTTAGCAAAGCGTTGGAAACACTTGCCTTTTCGCGCAAGCGTTGCATGTTCAGCGCAACGTGATAAACGCTATGGTCCTTAGAATTACTTATGTATGCCTTTTCTAGTAGGAGACACACATACAGCATATTGACGTGTTCTTATGGGGCCTTATATATGCTCAATAATTGCTTTTAAAGTGAAAATCGCTCAAGTGTGAACACTGAACCTGAGCAATATTTGTGGGCGCTGCGGATGGGGTCGGCCATTTGGATTATCGTTGAACCACTTTGGTGCCGTTTGAAGTACCGTTAAGGGCGGAGAAACAGACAAATATAGACAGAGAGACCAAACTTTTTGCGTCGAAGGCTCCAAGAAAGAATCGTCTTAATATTTGTTGGACGCACTTCTCCCTAACCAATGGAAAAATATCATCTAAGGGGAGTACTTCATTATTCACTGAATGGCAGGTGAACTTCTTCATAGGGTACGATAGATGGTTGGTCGAGTCGCCCTTGAAATTTAAGGCATGCCAAATTAGCGTGAGTGAGGAAGGACACAAGCACGGAGCCCACGGGGACAGGTGCTAAGAACTGCCTATCGTTAAAGGGACACTAACGAGCAAAATCATTTTTCACGTATTGGTAAAGTATAATTTCACAATCCCGAAAATGCCACTCTTACCTCTACACGATGCTTGGTAAGCTAGAAAACGCGCGAAAAGAATATGTGGGTGGAGACGCCGCCTTGACATACCCGCACCGAACACCGTGACGTCATAGAATAAGAAGGCATCTACTCAGTTCTACGTAACCTCTAAGCGAAAAAAAAATACCACCAAGCGAAGTACAGTTTCTGTGCAAGCTGGAAGAGTGGCCTTTAAAAGCCTTTTCTAAACACTCTTTGGGAAACTGCTACAGGCCAACTTGCTGGGTACCAAGTACGCCGTAAATAATCATAACTTCTGTGTAGCAGGCCGGCATCCACTACGCCATCCTTCGTCATTCTTCGGAGAAGCGTAATGTCGGCTACACACATGCAAGGAATTTAGTTCAATTTTTTTATGCAGTGCATTACAACGATGAAGAATTAGGCCTGAAGTGGGTATACGCCACAGTTATCAGGTGATCGAGAACAACCTTTTGTAATGCGAACGAGCATTGAATCACACGTTCGTTACGCAATCCGCATTCTGTGACGCCTGGTTCTTCCTTTGCTGGTACAAAACGCCGTATTACTCATATTAACGCGATTCCTTTCCCGATATCAATCCTGCCTAAGGCAAATTTGCTGAACGAGTTTCAGGGGCACCGGAGTGGCTCAGGGCTGGCACGTAGGAGACCCCTGTTCGAACCCCACTGCTTCAGAGGTGTTTTAGGGGCGATGATCCTTATAGCGGCACCTGTTTGTACTTCGTAGCCGTGGTAGTAGTCGTAGTGTATAACCAGTATCACATTTTGACCTTCAAGGTGGTGCCGGTGAGAGATTTCTTCTGTGCGTTGTTTAACAATTAAAGATAGTGCTAAATGTACATGCAAATGGCTGCTAAGGGGGAATGAGAGACAGGAGAATTCGGCTTTTAAGTAACGCGCACGCTGCGAATTTTTTATTGTTCAACAACGCACAGAAGACAAGAAAGGGTTGCTACGTTATACTCGCTGGGCATAACCTCCTAGGTTTTAGATCGGTTTAGTGGGCGTTTGTCCGCAGTGCCATCAATACAGTGAACTAGTATATACCATTAACTCGAGGTGGTTAATGGTGGGAAGTAGAAACGAATCGGAAGTCGTAAGGAAAGTGTGCATGTGCCTCCTCTAGTTCAATCCTTGGAATGTCCGCTGGATGACGGTGCTTCTATATGAGGAATATATGATGAAAAAATGCGAGATGGTGGTACTTGGAGTGTTGAATAGGTGGACGAACGGAAACACAGACAGATGCATGGACGGACGCACGGATGGCTGCACGGACGGATGGACGCATGGACGGACGCAGGAGCGGATGCATGGGCGAAAGCAGGGACGGACGCACAGATGAACGTGCGGACGCACGAACAGACGCATGCACGTACGGGTGGATTGACGCATGGGCGGTCACACAGACGCACGCATGAATGGACGGAAGCAAGAACGAATGGACGGACGGATGTTTCGCCCCACTATCCATCATTCACTCCGTGGATAATGGATATTGGTGCGATAGTAGGATAGTGGATACTTATCTTTTTTTCTCGTTTAATTCGATAGTGGTTACGGACAACTACGGCGCCGCACGTGACCCGTGTGGTGACATCATAACAGCATATGAAGTTTCAGAAACTTCTTTCGAGTCAACGTCGCTAAAATACGAAAAAAACTTTTGAAATTTTTGACATCACACGCATGGCTTGTACCGTACTCGTCCCACGGAGGCTCGAAAAGAAGGCACCTACACTTCTTGAAGCTTGGGACAAGACTAGCTTTTTCCCAAGAAAAACAGGCTTCGAAAGTGACAAACGAAAGGGGCATGGCTGCGTATCTTCCGCGGCCCTCCGGAGATACTGTGAGGCATGTTGGCCGCGTCTGCGTCATGCGCCTCGGCATGCGAATTGGTATGCGCACACAAATAAAATTATCGCGATCACCGGCGTCATCGCCCGCTACAGATTGATCTGTAAATATAAAAAATCATACTTTAATCAACATTTTCTAGACTATAAAAAAGTTATTATACTGATACGTATAATATTACAGATCTCCGAGTGCGAGTGAAGTTTGTCAATCTAAACCAAGTCAATGTTTCTCTTCAGCTCCCTTCAAGTGCCGGCATATTATTGATAGTATTGACATAGTACTGTTATACTGACTTAATAGAGCTGTGACCTCTTCACTCTTTAGCAGGGTAATAAAGCATTTTTACTTCTCCTAACGATTCCCATTTTCTCTTTCTGTAGCAGCTAATTCATATTCTTGAACGTCCTCGCTATTCCAGATGTGGACTTCCACCTCGTCTTGGTAGGGGCCTTAAATCCGCCTGCACTCCTTATGTAAGCCCGCATGACATTTATTCTAAAGCCTTTCTTATATGATAGACTCCGCACCTTCTACTTTGAGTGCACGGGCACTGCGAGTGGAATATCCTTTCTTGATTTTTCGTTGAAGAAACACCATTTCAGTCGTCATGGCTCAAATTTATAGATGCTTTTTGTGCTTACACATTTATTATTATTTGTCCAAGTATTAGATGTTTTTTTACTCTCTCATTTTCCATGAATTTTATTTTATGGATGCCCTTGTGTGTATGTTATGCCCTTGTATGTTGTACTTTTTCACTGTGGAGCATACTACAAGTGATAAAGCCTCGATCAGGCAGATGATGTTCCGTCTTTAACCTCGCCCTGGTTGTCTAATGGTTATGGTGATCGACGGTTGAACCAGAAGTCAACGAATGGAATCCTGGTCATGATTGATTGATTGATTGATTTGATTTATATGTGGGGTTTGTATGATTAGGAGAGATGTCGCAGTGAAGGGGTCCGGACATATTGAATACCTAGGGTTCCTTAACGTGGACCCAAATCTGAACACACGGGCTAACACCATTTTCGCCTCCATCGAAATGCAGCCGCCGCAGCCAGGTTTCGATCCCTTGACCTGCGGGTCAGCAGCTGAGTATTTTAGCCACTAGACCGCCACGGCGGGCAATCGTGGCCTTGCAGGCTGCGTTTCGCAGAAAGCGAAATGTAGAAGCCCATGTAATTAGATCTACGAGCACGTTTAGAAAAACAAGATCATAATCATATTTGTGGTTCTGGACCTAAGTCCACAATTATTAATAATGCCGTGCTTTTGGCCTTGTCTCACAAGGCTCTACTATCTGAGACAAATGAAATAAACAAGCTATTCAACGGATATTTTTTCGGTACTGTGACAACAGTGATTTTTTTCTATTGTTCAGTGCGGCTTGGGAATGCGGCATGGCCAGCGGTGTGGACCACTGTGTACCTGTCAAGCGTTCTTTCACGCCCCAGGAGCGTTAGCGTGCGTGGGAATCTACTCCAGGAGTCCATATGGAGTCCGTCCTCGGCCAGTACCAGGACCACAACATTAACTTGGAGATACTCTTCCAAGAGGCTTCCTATGGAGGTAGTTTCTCGCGATGTAGGCCATGAGCTTCTTGGAGCGTTTCATTGGACCCGCTGTCGGGAAGATTCAAAAAATTTTAATCCAACAACACTTGCGATGCAAGCCCTGCGTACAGCATATATAACGATAGTAAACGGAAACATTTATGCAACTGGTCAAACGATGTCGTTGTGTTCGTAAACCGCAAATCCCCTCCCCGAACAAGACTTCTGCAGTTCCATGTCTGTGTCGTACTGTTTACATCTGCAGCTTCCCGCTGGAAGCCTTTCTTTCTGCATTGACCAATGACTGCGCACGTATTTGCAAGGTTCTTCTGCAACATGCTCACAAAACAAAAGTGTACATACATCTCTTTCTAACGAATTTTGGACCTCGGCGTTGTTCTATGGCCCTTTAACGAGCTTTCTTACAGAAATCGTCTCGCCAAGAAATGTCGCGTGCTCCTCTGAGCAAGCTCCTCCAACTTAATTCTCTTTGTGGATAAGGCGCTGATTTTAATATATTATCATCAATGTTATATATCTTCATCCAACATCTGAAACACGTATGCATGCAAGTTTACACTTGACAAGTTTGAGTGTCCTTTTATTGTACATTTTGTTTATTTTCAGTCTTTGCTCTGGAAATATGCTGGCCGGTTCAGTGCATCGACGTGGTCAAAAGCGCAATCACACCGGGGCTCACTGCTTTTTCCGGGCAACAGTATGCACTCGGCCGGAATAAACACGTCTAATAAATATCAAAATTGCACAAGGATTCTTGACGAGTCATCAAATGAACTGGATATTTTGTCCGCAGCTGATTGGCTCGAGCCGGGAGAGCAGCTCACTATTTGTTTTCAGTTCTTTCATCGCCGGGAATTAAGGCGTTAGGGACTTCCAAATTTTCGACAGCAGTGAAAGTCGTGCAATGCCCTTTGAATCAATGAATGAAGTCTGTCCCGATTTTGGCCGCTCGAATCTCGTAGGTCGTTTATCAACTCTGAATGCAATAATCCTCGAATTAGGTTTAACGGAGCTTTCCGCTTAACGCCCCTATGACGGCAGCTATGCATTTCCTGCATCCTTCTCAAGCCTTCTTCGACGCGCCAATATGCAAGAACAGACGTGGCAAGATTGGGGGTCGTGTTAGTGTAGGTATTTTTTGTAAACTTTTTCTTTTTACTATGGCAGTGGGCAACGCGAGTGGGTCAGCGTAGACCTGTCAAGGGAGCTGTGACTCCAGGGCTCGGTGATTTCTCGAGGAGGTGGATGTATTCCACAATACTAACATGTCTCTTAGATGTACATTTCGAGAATAGTGACCTCGATAAATACAACCATGTACAAATCTTAGCTGCCCACATAAAAACACACAGAAGCTTCCAAATTGACGTGTCTGCCCCATCAAGCAAATATGTCTCTACGCCTATCTTGAGAAAAAGGGACACTTTAATCAATATATAAATAACGGTTTTCGCGAAGAAACACTCCACATCTATCTCTCTGGATGATTTGTATAAAGATCAAAATAACCGTGATAGTCTGCATGAATTTCTTTCCAATTGAGTTGTAGATAACAGGCAATGGTGTGAAGAAAAGTATAGCTGATTTTATTGGTAATAATGATAGTGCGAATGTGAAGAAAGAAAAGTGGCCGAAAAGATAACTTTAGACTGGCAGGGCACTGAACCTACGACCTTCGCATAACGCATCCAATGCTCTACCAATTGTGATACGTCGATGGTCATCCCTCGGCCCACTTTATAGGGTACATCTGTATTCTAGGGAGTGAATAGAGGGATGACCGTCCCCACGGCTCAGTTGGAAAAGGATCTGACGCGTTATTCCAAGGTGACAAGTTTGGTCTCTGCCGGCGGCGAGTTTTCTTGCTTCATATTTACATTACACTTATTGCTAATAACGTTGCGTTTACATTCCATTGCGTGATTGTCTTTTAGTTCTAATTAATTCTGTGCGTATAAAAAACATAAATTTACGGCTCTTTCTTTCGAATAGAAAAGCTTTATTGAGTGGATTTCAACAGCGCATGAAACAGAATAGCGTAGAAAAGCTTGCCGTTATACGAGTTCATTACATAACCTGAAAGCTTCAGAAACGTACTCTATGCACCGATTTGTTGAGATTACGTGTTCGATGTAGTCATCCTCGGCGTCCTCTAACACGGAATGGCCTCGGAGAGGAATCAGGCAGGCAGATGTTCAAATGGGTGTGCACGCCATGTCGTACGCATGTGCAACCCCAGCCACATGAGGCTCCCGCGGGCAGGTGTACGCACTGATTTGAGAAAACGAAGAAAAGAACGGTAGAAATATTAAGCAGCGCTAAGGGCCTCCCATGAGATTTTCTGATACATCTCACCAAACTGTCTGATGGACTAAAGCATACTCGAAAATTATCAACCCTCTGCGCCTGATGAGAAAATGCGAAAAAAACGATACGTTTGGTCAGTGTACCGATGTAGAAATACGCTTCCTCGTGCATGTAGAGAAACACATAAAAGCTTGCGCTTCAGGAGCGAAGGAATGAGACAACTGGACCGTGATTGACGCCCGCAAGGAATGCGACTTTGACAGTATCCATCCATCCATCCATCCATCCATCCATCCATCCATCCATCCATCCATCCATCCATCCATCCATCCATCCATCCATCCATCCATCCATCCATCCGTCCGTCCGTCCGTCCGTCCGTCCGTCCGTCCGTCTGTCTGTCTGTCTGTCTGTCTGTCTGTCTGTCTGTCTGTCTGTCTGTCTGTCTGTCTGTCCGTCCACTTACGACACTTAGCCCCTCTTTCTGGCCGCTTCACTTATGGTATCAATACCAAACTTGGTATGGCATAACGTGGCTGTATGACGAGTGTAAGTGACTTGTCATAACATGAAAAATCATGATTTACAATTCACGGTCTTGAAGCTCTCGCGGTGGTTTCGTTCACATGACATGTTGCAAAACTGGTATGGTATGACATGACTGCATGGCAAACGCAAGTGACAGACTCTAACGTAGAAATCACGACATGCATGTCATGTAAGTCATGAGTCATTACTACACGCCACGCACATGGTGCGCTTGTGGTAGTTTCGCTAGCTTCACATATACCAAATTTGGTATTACGGGATGTGAAAGCATTACTACCGTATATGTCTGGTACAAGCATGCTAGGCATGAGATGCGTGTCATGTTGGAACATGACTACATGTCACGCGCACGATGCACTCGCGGTCGTTTCACCAGCTTCACATACGCCAAATTTGGTATTACGGGATGTGAATGGATGACGAAAGCAAGCGACTGGTGCAAACATGATAATCATTAGCTGTGTGTCAAGTAAAAACATGACCATATGCCACGCTGATGATGCGCTCACGGCCGTTTCGCTAGCTTCACATATACCAAGTTTGGCATTACGGGACGTGGATGGATGACGAAAGTACATGACTGGTGCAAACATGATAATCATGAGATGTATGTCATGTAAAAACATGAATACATGCCCCACTCAAGGCACCAGTACACTTCGGCGGGACCAGGCGCGCGTCGCGCTGCGTTGGTTTCGTCACGTTGCGACGGCGATGCCACGCCAGGCGCTGATCTGCCTTCTTTATGCTCGCAGGCACGCGTCGCGCTGCGTTGCTTAGGCGCATGCGCGTCTGATCCTGTTGGGCGTTCGTCCGTCACGAAGAGAGGCAGACGCATTGCTTTCTGGGTAACGTAATCAGCGCGAAATGCAGTATGTCGCATTTCGCACCGGTTGCCGCCTGGCCGCGCCGACGAACGATGGTTGCGCCGGTCGCGCCTAACGTCAGACTATAGTGAGCTCGCGTTGCTAGCGCAGCGTGGCTGAGCCCAGCGTGCACGCGCGTCAACGTTAAGTCGGAGTCTATTGGGCCATTCATGATGCGCTTGTGGCCGTTTCGCTAGCTCCCTATATATGAAATATAGTATCAGGTGACGTGAACAGATGGCGAATGTAAATGACACGTTAAAACGTGATAATCATGGTGAGGAAATCATGTACGGCGTAATTTACCTCCGCCTTGTAACGCTGTGTTCCTTTTAAAGTGACATATTAACCTTCGTCATTCGTGCTTCGCATACCATAGATTCCCACATTACGTGGGATCTGCCGATTTTTTCTTCCCTTGCGGTTGCGAGCTTTCCGGTTTGTGCACCTCCCGAACGATGGCGCTACACGCAGAAGCATTACACGAAAAAGGACTCGTGCTGCCTCACTTCTGGATATGCCACTCTTCGACCACGTACGGCTTCGTTATTGTGCTTCCTCAACGTGGAAACTGCCGCTTTTCTTCGAAATTTCGCCTCGACTTGAGCCACCCTGCCGAGGGTGGTCTGCGACTCGATAATGGTGACCTGGACTGTACACTGGATTCGGCTACAAACTGAAGCACGTGAGCTCATCCAGAAGCCATCAATGTCACCTCTACCCCCCCCTCCCCCTAAAAAAAAGAATTTGCATACACTTGCTTCCCGATGCTCGAAGTAGTGGTTATCACTACGTACGTACTGCAGGTGCCAATGTACTAGATGCATATAATTGCTACTGGTTCAGCTTTTACTAACACTATAGAAGCGAGGCTGTGAAAACTTGAATGAGCCGCACAAAAGAAATCGAGTATACGAGAAACACTTTTCTAAGTACATCGTGCCCCTCGAAGGAGGGTGTGGGGAAGCACTCGCGTTAAGGCATTCAAATAACGTCAAATGGTTCGTGGTTGTTTTATGCCATACAAACACATGTCTGCGTCCTTCGCATCAAATGGGAAACCTGGACGTCTCCACAAACGTTTCATAGGACAGTTAGATTGCTAATATACAAACATCACATTTCAGATGGTAACAACGAGCCACTTTGTATCAGTATACTTTGTACTTATATGAACAAATCAAACACACAATTTCAATTGCCACGTCTTTTTCACAGAGTTGAAGAATAGTCAAAGATCAGTCTTGCAAACAGCTGCCATTTTTTTTCTAAAATTTCAACTGACTAAACTGTTAAGGCCAAGTATTCCTCATTTCTATTCAGTATGAACAGTGCCACCTTATCAGACCACAGGCTCTATTTATGTGAGGAAACAGCAAGCACAACAACACTGAAACGCGTAGACAGTTCATTGAGTGTTAATTACACTAAATTGGCTAAAGTAAGTGCATGAACATCGTATGAAAGATTATAAAGAAGTGTACATTGGAGGGATAGTTTCATTTATTAGACACAATAGTGATGAGATGTAACAGACAATCATGCCAAGGAAAGTAAAGGGGATGTTATTATAGGTAATTTTGATGTATATGTGAAGAAAAAAATTGGACTGAATGGTCCCTAGCCATGGACTGAGACCAAGTCTGCGAGCTTCGATTAACACGTCCAATGCTGGTAGAACATCGTATGCGTTATTCGAAGGTGGCAGGTTTGGTTCCTGCCCACGGCAACATTTATTTATTTATTTTTTAATATTGTGCAGAGAGTAGTTTACTCAAATTAGAATGTACATAAGCAAAAAAAAAACAGTAAAAGATCAAAACCACCTACGTAGCATGGGTGAAGCAGATTGCGATGAATTCCACTGTGTGGTTGTTCGCGGGAAGTGTAATTTATATAAACTAGTTCATGCGAATACAGGTTGATGCAATAGCTGTGCTTGCGACATGAGGCTCGTCTTATGGGTTTCTGAAAGTAATCGTCAGAGTTTATTCTGAACTTAACAAAATAAACAGAAGATTAGAAATTTAAACGTGCCTGTTTTCTTCTTTCAGATAACGGCTCTAATTCGGACATCTGTAGCATCTAAACTTAACAAAATAAACAGAAGATTAGAAATTTAAACGTGCCGGTTTTCTTCTTTCGGATAACGGCTTTGATTCGGCCATCTGTAGCATATCCGACGGTGAAGCAAGGCGTCTGAAACGATTGTAAACGTGGCGGACAGCTAACCTTTGAATTTTTTTCAAGTTTTTTTTTTATGTTGACCTGGGTATAAATTTACCAAACAGCACTGCCGTATTCCATTGACCATGTAATAATTTTTTTGTCCGTCATGTATCTAAGAGAATGAAGGGATTTGCCCAATTTGTGTTTGAGGACGCCTAACTTTTTTCCCGGTATTTAAAGCTTATGCAATTTATATTGGTCGGCCAGTTAGGGCTGGATGTTATAGCGATTCCTAAATATTTCAACGCGTGAACTTTAAGAGGGTTATTTTTTTACACACTCCATAGGCAAAGGAAAGTTTGTTGCATTTGTTATTAATGGTTATGTGCACAGTTTTCTGAGGATTAAATACCATTTACCACTTGTTTCACAATTCTGCCAATTAGTTTAAAGTGCTATTTGTTGTAATTTCATCATGCACAGAACTTACTGGCATAAATATGATGCAGTTATCCACAAATAACTTAATGCCCACAGACGACTCCGCTACGTACCGAATGTCATTGATATATTATTAATAAAAAGGAGTGGGCCCAGGTCGGACTCCTGTGGAGCCCGTGGGTGCACATCTAAAAATCGCGAAGTAGATCTCCTAATGCTCATATAATTTGGTTGGAAAGACATGTATTACCACAGTGAATAATGTGCGAGGGTAATCCAATTGCTCTAATTTTTAATACTAAAATGCATTTTTGTCCACTTTTCTTTACATTTACATTAGAATTACTTCCAACACATCCCCTATGCTTTGCTCGGCATGATTGTCTTTTAGACCTCATTAATATAAACGTTAGTAATTCCGAAGGTTACCCATTCGAAGTACACTGAAACCGATAGATCTTCATTGATTGATATGTGGTTTTTAACGTCCCAAAACCACCATGATTATGAGAGACGCCGTAGTGGAGGGCTCCGGAACTTTCGACCACCTGGGGTTGTTTAACGTGCACCCAAATCTGAGCACACGGGCCTACAACATTACCGCCGCCATCGGAAATTCAGCCGCCGCAGCCGGGATACGAACCCGCGACCTGCGGATCAGCAGACAATTACCTTAGCCACTAGACCACCACGGCGGGGCTAGTTCTTCATTGAAATGTGTCGTAATGGGCCGGGGTAAATACATGCTGAGCTTCTCAATAGGTGCATGTTGAGCTGGTAAATTTATTGACGCAGTCTCCAATAGAACATCTACTGTGTTCATGTGAACGTTTTGCGAGCGAACGCAATTTGCTACGCGAAACGTTGGAGACACTAGACAGTTGACCTTTTTCCGAAGAGAAGATACTTGGCTCATGGCTCTACGCGTCGCTGGCCAGCAAAGCGACGCGGGCACTGCTAAGTTTTCTGAAGACGACCGGACTACGCGACCGCTTATAAGCGTGCAATGGACAAGGTCCCACCAACATACACGTTGCCCTTCCCTTCTCTCTCTCTTCTCTTTTAATCCCCTCACCCCTTCCCCCAGTGCAGGGTAGCAAACCGGACGTGCGTTTGGTTGACCTCCCTGCCTTTCATTTCTTCCCTTCCTCCTCCTCCTCCGATACTAGGATGTAACCATTTAGCACTTGGTAGAATGAGGCATCCCATGTGAAAGCTCCATGCTGACACCTAGGCGTGGGACCCGCACCACTGAGGCCACTGGATTTTCGAAATGAAGCTTTTTCCTCGTTATCCCATGTAATATGATTAACTTTGACTGGAGGAAAGCAGCGATGCTTATTAATAAGTCCATTGAAACTAGTTAATATTGAATAAAGCTTTTTCAGCTTGTTTGTGATAAGGCTATTTCTGATGAAGCAAATTGTATTTCTTTAGATTTATTAGTTATTCTCATTTCATTTTCTTAAAAGTACGGTTCAATATTTTGTAGAAATGCGTGCTTTGCGCGGCGAAACGGTAGTTAGTACAGGGCTAAACTCAGCCGTAGGCTAAATAGGAAGCCTATGTGAATTGTAAGCAAGGAGAACAACCTTGACAGCCCATTCCAGGCTTTGTGCAGAAAGAAAGAGCAAGAGATTGGCGAGGGTACAAGAAGCGGGGACACTCGGAACTGAGAGCAGAGCAGAACCACCACGCACGAACAGCTCTGTTCAGCTGCCTTGTGTTCATTTCTTGCGCCTGTGCTTTTTTGTTCTTTTTGCAGGGTTAGTGGAATTTTGTGCCATTTTTTGTTTTACAGCGAAAGCTGTAACTGGGTATAGGGACAACGGAAAACCATTCGCGACGAGTTTTGGTGGTGGTCTTCAATGCTGCACTGTTAGTCACGTCGTTGTCTACGTCACACCCAAGCGCTCAGCGCCATTGGCAGCACCGTTAGTGAAGTCATTTTCTGCGTCGTATACCTAAGCGCGCGCGTGCCATTGGCCACGCCGGCAGTGACATCGTTCCTGTCTTCGCAGACATGCCACCGAGCCCGCGTGCAGGATTTTCAACTTACAACTTCTACATGGGGAGGGCGCGGATCGAACGAGTGGTCGAGCAGCGGACCATTTTCCAAGAGCAGTACCGACGGCTGATCCTCGAGAGAATTCATGTTTGCGGGCCGATGCTGCAGTCTGCAGGGCACAAGAACAGTCCCGCGTAGAGAACTGAAAGCTGCAAATGCGCACCGAGGATCCGGCACCCTTCAGAGCCGAATGGAAGCGACAATGGCGAGCCGTTGAGGGCAAAGCATCGTCAACGTGGCAATGGTGGAAACATATTCGCCGGGGCCAAAGTCCGTTTTCGGTGGGAATTTTTAGAGCGGCACATTGACCTCGGTTGCGACGCCTTCAACCACCTGTGGCCACACGTCTAAGCTTCACTGGTTAAACATCTGATGGATTTCGTCAACGGTGATAATTTTTCTTGTGATTACCTGAATTCTTTTGCGGTTATCTATTTCTGTTGTATGCTCACCTAGTGTTTTTGAACAGTTTGCGGTCGTTTTGCTGCCGCTTCGCTGGCTCCGACATACGAATTACCCCTCCGGCGCAGCTGGCGTTCACGTGCTAGGGCGTGTTAGCGTTCCAAAAGTGCAGCCTGCTAAAATTATGAGCATCTAACGGAATCTGCGCGACGGCAACGTGACACTGAGACCTCGAAACGGCAGTCCCTTACTACGCAGTTGGAAAACTACACCAGTAAATTTAAACTGCTTTCTGAAAGAGCCTTATTTTCACACTTGCTTACAATCCTTGGTAAAAGGAAAAAAATTGCCCGCAGCTTCCCTCGGGGGAACACTGAGGAGGATGCGGACCATGTAATTGGTTAACGGGGTGTTAAAGTGCGACTTACTTGGGTCGATGGCTAAATTGGTTAACGTGGTTGTAGGAGGGGGTGTTAAATGAGTGAACACGTACACACGTATGCGAAAGGGCGGCGCTGGTCGAAGGGACGTCGATCATTGTGTTTGTGGATTCGTTGGAATTCATTTCACCGCGACCTTGGACGTCGACGCGCCGTACAAACCAACCGACGAGCGGCAACTGAGCGAGCGAGCGCCGACCTTGAGTATATATACAGCACGACGGCGCATGCACTGTCAGCTGTTGAATGTTCTCGAAGCGCGACGCCACATGCGCGTCCACTGGAGAATCAGGAGAATTGTAGATGTCGAACGCGGTGTGTAGAGGAGGAAGGGTGCACAGATGGTGGAGGAGTGAAGCGCGCGCGGTGTGTAGAGGAGGAAGGGATGCACAGATGGTGGAAGAGTGGGCGACGGCGCATGCGCGCGCGTCAGCTGTCGAATGTTCGAGAAGCGGTGCGGACGGCGCACTACAAGGCGCGAGTATAAGATGCTCCGCATCTAAAAAATACATCGCCCAAATTACACTCTCCCACGCCTGCCATTAGCGTTCTTTTCGCGGATTTGTTCCGGGCTAGCAAGTCGCTGGCACTCGCTGGGCATGTGCGACAAAGCTGGTGACTTAAAGATAAAAACAGTTGTTTTCACTGTGTTTTATAAAGAAAAGGCACAACTTCTTACCTATTATTGATTTCAGCTGTCAAAACATTGCATTATTAGTAGGGTGAAATTGATGCGATCTACATAAACATGCGCTGGTGGTTAAAGTTCAGGGCACAGACAGAATGTTCGAGGACCACCTGAGAAGGTTATAAATTGTCATCATGGTGGTTCTTGAGGCCATTCAAAGATGCACTGAAGCTTTCGCAGATCCTTGAAGGTGAAATGATTCTGAAGAGGTAAGAACCAACGCACGCTATTGTGAATTAAGTGCGCCGTCATGAAGCAAAGAATTTTCCTCGCATTATGTTACTCTTTCATCCCACGAGTTCAGAACTACTGAAGGTAATGTATATGTTGCATACAACACACACAATATTGGTGCTTACATCGTTCGTACAAGCATATTTGATACCCTTCCCAATTGGTGGCGGAATTCCAGATCTGCAATGAAGACGACAACCAGAAGAATTGGTTCTTACATAAAACAGAATAGGCTGAATAGATTGCCAAAATTGATGATAAGATACATCCATTTTTAACATGTTGAAGGTGAAAAGTGCATTGCAAGTGTTGAAGTAACTATTGACAGCGATAGTTTGCACCGATACAAGGTGTTTCGAGAAAAGGTTACGTCAACAATGTTTTTCAAATGAAGCATGGAGCCATCATACTGGTGAGTTCGTATCGTGCTTACGTTTCAAAGCTAATAGCACAGTGATTTGGGTGAAATACCATGTAAATTCTTGTTTAGAGAAGAAAAACAGGTACTTTCTATAAATAAACCAAATCTTTCCATAAAAACAGAAAAAACAAACAAACTTTCTATAAACATAGCTGCAGATCTCCTGAAAGTAACCTATGTGTTGCGTGTACTGGGCAGGTAACGTTACAACAACAAAACATACTAAGCTCTAATTTCTCACGGGACCTAACCTAAAAGCTGATGCGTTTTCATAAATTATGATCGAGCGTTACGCGACTGAGTTAATGCATGCGCCAGTTTTGCTAACACAAGGTCACTGCAAAACCATCTCAAAGATGAAGACGTGTAATAGGGAATACGATGCAAGCTAAGCTGGGAATCAATAATATCTATCGATATACATATTTCAGTTGAGCGACTATATGGTTTGCATGAATGAGGAATCAAGCTGAAACTCCCGAAGAACGTTGGTGCGAGTTGTGCTGCATGCTAAGTTACGACAAGTGCAGTGTTGCTTGAAAGAGTAGCACTCAAGCGTAACACTTATGAATTAATGCATCATAAAAAATGTACTCACAAAACCAAGGGACAGAGTCTTGATAGTAAAAGAAGATAAAAAATGGTGGCCTTCATTCCGGTGATTTCTTCAAATAGTTCAAGAGTAATACGCTCGGTCTATGCTTTTTGTAATCTCTGACGTTTGGGCTGGTACGTGTGTCACTAATCACACATATTGAACTTAAACAATCACGAAGAGCTGTTTTGTTCACGAATAAATAGTCGTAGTATTGCTTCATAATTTTGTAGAAGCGTCAAGGCACAAAGCTACGGCACATTTCTATAATTAATGAGCGTAGAAAGAGGCATGTGGGCGCTTCTTCGCGTGGCCGCCATAAATAGCCCCCGAAAAGCCACTTCAAATACCAAAAAGGAGCGCATCATTCTCTCCTGGCATTTCCAGTCCTTGCGGCACAATGAGTTGTGACAGCAGTTTGCTGACGTCACGCCGGGATAAAATAGGCTCTCGACTAGTCGATATACTGTTCATAACTGCTGTGTACGCGCGTAAGGGCTGCAAGGCTGTGCCAGTATACGACTGGTTTCAGTGCATGGCGGCTCAATGAAAAACTGGCATGCCGTACGAGCTCGCCAGTAGCATGTTATGCAGACAACTGTTCTGTTCTGTTCTGTTCTGTTCTGTTTTAACTGTTCTGCTGTGGAGAGGTTGAGGTGCCTGTGGAGAGGTTGAAGTTCTGCTGCGAAAAATACAGAACGGTACCCAAAATTTAACAATACGGAAAAGAAAAAAAAACATAATAGCACACTGAAACCAGTTCAAATATCATACCAATACACAGTTTTCTTCGTGCATATCACACAGTCATAAACTACTTACACGCACACCTTACTAATCTAATGTCAGTATATACATGAGCATATTTTATATAATACCCATCTCTGGCTGTCTGTCATAGGCGCTTGTGCAGTCCGGTCTCCAGGAAGATTCTCCAGGAAGTCTGTCAGGAAGATTATTGCCTTTTTCTGGAGATGCATCTCAGGCCATGGTCCAAGTAGTTTCATTATTGTGAGGGGCCGTCTGTCCAAACTTGCTAATTTGTTCTTTAATTTTTCTCTTTCATTCGCGTATTTAACACACTCCAAAAGAATATGGCGAACATTTTCTTTTGCATGACCACAATGGCATTCCGGTGAGTTGGATCGATGTATCTTGTGCAGGAAGCTGTTTGTGTATGCTACTTGCAATCTAAGTCGGTGGATGAATGTTTCTAGGTGTCGTGGGAGGTCAGTCGCTATGGAAAATTTTCTGTGTGGATCAACTTCACAAAGTACCGTTTCCTTTGATTTAGGGCTCTCAAACCACTTCTCCATCGAACAATGGTTAGCTCCTTGTGATATAAAATGTCGAATATCCGCCCCAAACATAGGGATTGCGCGATATCGCCTTTCCTTCAATGCTTTCTTCGCGAGGCTATCAGCCTCTTCATTTCCCTTTATTCAAATGTGGCTTGGTATCCATTGGAATACGATGTTGTGACCCTGCGATGAGGCATATTCTACAGTTTCTGCGATACATTGTGCTATTTCACCATTTTTGTAAGGTTATCTCACATTTCTGATTAGCTGAAGAGCAGGTTTGCTATAAGTGCATGTCACCCACTTTCGTGGCTCAGGATTCTCGCAGATAAGCTTAACTGCTTCAAAGATAGCCACCAATTCTGCTGTCGTCGATGAAGATTTGTGCGATAATTTGTACATCTTCTTTTTCTGAATTTCGGGTGTAAAGACCACACAGGCTGACGATTCATCTGTGCATGATCCGTCTGCATATATCTTCGTTTTTTCATTATGCATTACATGAAGCTGATGAAGTACCGTCTATTTCACGGATAACGTTGAGAAGTGGCAGCGTCCAAGGTAGTTTTGAAGTTTTCTATTGTTTAAAGTCTGGTACTACTGCTTGATTGATGAAATCGTATCCTGTGGTCTCGTTGCCGTTCTGTGTGTTAGTCCACCAGATAAAAAATGACTTTCATGTTGCGTGAAAATTCTAAATAAATTTAAAGATGTTTCTTTAGTTCGGAGTACTGCCAAAGGTGGCTCTCGAGCCTCCGCATACACTAAAGCACTGGAAGTTGACTGTGGTAAACCCAGACATACCCTCAAGCTCCTTGCCAATAACAAGTGAAGTCTCCTTTCGGTGGAGCCTGGAAATCCGTGCAGCAGAGGCAGTGAGTAAGTTACGATGGGGCGTATCCAGGCAACATGTAGGGCTAATAACGACTCTGTAGTGCCACCCCATTTGGCCCCGCCAAATGGGGTGGAGGTGCCGGAGGATTCGAATGGCCTGATTCACTTTTTGTTCCATGGACTGGACATGAGGCGACCATGTTAGTCTCCGGTTTAAAATTACTCCCAAGAATTTATGAGTTTTAACCATTTGAATAGACTGATTTTGCAGAATAATCTGGAAAATTTCAGGTCTTTTTAATGTAAACGGTAGTATGGCTGTTTTAGCCAGACTCAGTGCCATACCTTTTTTTTTAGAAAACGGTCTACATTATCCAGTCCTTCTTGTAGAGTTTGTTGTACATCCAAAAACGATGGACCAGACGTCCATGTACTTATATCATCAGCATATACTGAACATCTGATGTTAGGTGGAAGATTATACGGCAGCTGCGCCATGACGGCATTGAAGAGAGTAGGGCTTAGCACGCTGCCCTGTGGCACTCCTTGGTTGACGACATGTTCTGACGTTGGGCCCTCCTGCGTAACTACAAATATTTTCCGGTTCTTCAGGAAGTCAGCGATCCAACGCAGTATCTTGCCCTTGAATCCCTGTAACGCCAGGCCTTCCAGAACGTGAACGTGACTCACTGTGTCGTATGCTCGGTGGACATCAAGGAATACAGCGACAGTGATGTTTCCTTGCGTTCGTTGGTTTTCCACATCTGTGACCAAATCCAGAATGCAGTCCATTGTGCATCTACCTCTTCTGAAGCCAGCTATGCTTTCTGGTAGTAGTTTTTTCATGTCTTGCCACCATAAAATTCGTTCATTGATCATTTTTACAACCACCTTTAAAAACAACTGGTCAAACTAACCGGCCTAAACAAGTCCAACTGCATAGGACTCTTCCCTGGCTTTAGCAACGGTACTACTTTTGATATCTTCCAACTCTCCGGAACTTTTTCTTCTTGCCAACTTTTATTATAAATGTCCAACAGGTGTAATTTTCCTTTCTTGCACAAATTAGCAAGAGCAGCGTACGTAACTCCATCTGTTGCTGGTGAACTTGTTCGTTTTACTGAAGACAGCACATATTGGAGCTCCTCTGGTGTGAAACTCTCATCCAGATCTGATGAACTGATCGCAGAGAACTTTGCTACAACCGCCGAAGCTGATTTTGCTGAGGATATATATTCGCTAGTTTTGGCGGTCTCTGCATTTCTCAGTATAAGATCGCAAAATTCTTCGCCAATCACACGTTCGCTAACTCCTCGAGACAGCGCTAAAGCCTGTAGTGGTCTCGAGTGGACTGCTGGCTGTCGGAGGGCACGTACCATGTTCCACAGTTGAGGCGCCGAGGTAAATGGAGAAAGTGAGGCACATAAATCTTGCCACGTTTTGGTTGAAAGCTTCTGCAGGTTATTATGCATTGCAGAATGTAATTTCTGTGCAACCTTAAAATCTTCTAAATTACCCGACCTGTGATATCTTCTTTCAGGTCGGCGTCGTATTGCCCGAAGCCTCTCATATTCAGCGTCAATACCCGAATACCCATCTGGAATGGGTACTGCACGAGTTGCTTTTGTTAGAAATTTTTTTATCTTCGATGCATACGTTTCTGCGTCAGAACAAGGTTCAAGATTTTGTCTCTGTAGTTCTCGAAAGATTACCCAATTTGTAATTCCTGTTGTGCGGTTATTTCTCGTTTTCTTCAACTTTGGGTGATATATGAATATTGGCAAGTGGTCACTTCCTCTTGTATCAGCGTCTCCAGTCTAGTCTGCTCCAGCCGCTAATTCAGAGTAGCACACAGTGATGTCTAGTACGCTGCAATAGTTATGCTCCCGTAGAAACGTCGGAGAACCATCATTTAGTATAGTGTAACCATGGTCTTCGCATATTTTTACTATCCACACCTTTCGGCACCTGACACGCACACCAGCGGGCCATACTTACACCCGCCAAATGTACTTTCGCTTGAGGTCCTTTCCGTGGTCCACGCCATGCAGTCATTTTCCTCCCTCCCTTCTCTCCCCGAGTGTACGATTTACTCCGACTCTCACGCCACCATTCGTCACATACAGAACAACACGTTACTCCCTGCTCTTCAACAGGAGGTCGAGCGAGCGGCCTCTGCTCTTCAACCCTCCACTGTCTTCCTCCGCTGGGTTCCTGTGCATTCGGGTATTAACGGATGAGCTAGCTCATCAGCTTGCCCGCGAGATATTGCACCGGGCACCGTTCATTCCCTGGCCCACACCTTCGGAAGACAGTGAGAGCTCCGCGAATAACGATGGGCAGATCTCCTTGCGTCACACTATCAAGGAGCTATATCTGCAGCTCCGCCTCGACAAGCGTATTTACCCTCCCTCTCATCCATCACTCACTGCGCTCGAGGCTCGAACTCTACGGCACATCCAAATGAACTGCCTGATAACCCCCTCTCGCCTTTTCATTTATAAATATAGGTCTAACCTCTGCTGCCCTAATTGTCCCTCCCCAAACGCTGACCTGTCACACTGCCTGTTTTACTGCCCAACTGCTCTGCAATCCAGCTATTACCCTCCCCCATCCCTTTCCATCACCTCCTAGTTCGACTGGATCGGCACCGAAGGGGAAGAAGAATAGCGTCGACTGATCGCACAGGCGGTCGAAATGCTCGGTCTGTAAATTTGGCTGAATAAAAGTCTATTACTACTGTGAAGAAGAAGATGTGCCTGCAGCGAGCAGCATCGCCAACGCCCGGCTCGTTCGGCTCGTGCTTCGGTCCGTTGCTGTGCCGATCGCTGGACGCTTCTTCACGCTGCCTCGTCGCTGTCTTTAACGGCTAATAAACCTGTTCACATTTGGTGGAAGGTGCTGTTAATCCCCGTTGCTACACGCTGGAGCTTCGAAGCCGCACGCTACCTCCTGTCATGACTGCCAACGCCACTACATCGACGCCTTCGCTCCAGTTCAACTGCCCTGGCCATCCTACGCTAC